ACTTGGGCATGATGTGAAAAACTGATGATGTGGCAATAGCAATATGTAAAGTTATGGCAATCCTTCAGCCATATCCCCACATGAACTTATTATGTTTTGAGATAGGACAGTAGGTGTCAATATGAAAAGCTTAGAATAGCCTTTCCTAATGTGAAAGACAACTTGTGCATGATGTCAAAAACTAATGCTGCAGCACTGGCAATATGTAAGATCATGTCAATCCTTCAACCTCATCCCCATAACCTAGACAGGGCCAAGGACACCATAACCTACATGTCAACTACAAACTTTTGTAGTCTCAAAAAGCAGACACTTCAAACTTTTCTAATGAAAAAGCGCACACTACAAACTTTTGTAGTCTAAAAAAGCGGACACTACACACTTTTTCAAATGAAAAAGCAGACACTACAAACTTTTCCAATAACAAAGCGGACACTACAAACTTTTGTAGTCTAAAAAGCGGACACTACAAACTTTCTGATGACAAAAGCAGACACTACAAACTTTTGTAGTCTAAAAAAGTGCCTTTTCTAAAGGCTCTCATGCTCTCTTTTGCATATGATTCCTCAAACTAGACATGGAATAGAGTCCCTGCAATGTATCTGTATATTCCCCAGCCATTTCCCCATCAAATATGTGCCATGTATGTGATGGATGGGCTAGGTTGACTTTGGATAACCTTTTAGCCCTAACTATATCTATGAAAAGTGCAATGAAATATCCTAGGAACAAGAATGAAATATCCATTGAAAGCGCCAGGCATTCAGATGAAAAGCACAATGAGATATCCTGGGTTTAGCAATGAAATATCCAATGAAAGCACCAAGTATATCTATGAAAAGTGCAATGAAATATCCTAGGAACAAGAATGAAATATCTGTTGAAAGCGCCAGGCATTCAGATGAAAAGCACAATGAAATATCCTGGGGCTAAGAATGAAATATCCAATGAAAGCGCCAGATATATATATGAAAACTCCAATGAAATGTCCTGGAGCTAAGAATGAAATATTCATTGAAAGCACCAGGCTTTCATATGAAAAGCAAAATGAGATATCCAGAGATAATGAATGAAATATTGCAGGAAATCGCAATACAATATTAATGAGATCACTTAGGCCATTTAATGAAAAAACCAAATGAAATACACAGGGAACTTAATGAATGAAAATACTAGACAAAATAATGAGTTGTCTCATTGAACCTCTAGGCATTATACACATCGCCTTCCAGGCATGTGTCTGGTTTTTATCATAAGAGTGTATACCACTAGTGCTCATTGAGTGAAGCTCCCCAAGCATCCGGCTGCTCGACTTCATGTCTCTCCTTATGTAGCCTGGCTATTAGCGGTGGCACTTCCTTACCCTCTTTCCAGGCGGCCTCGAGCCTCGCGTAACACAGCGTTCCTTTCAGATCTTTCACCAAGATGGTCTGTACTTGTTGTAAGCTGGCGCCCAGAGCTATATCCGACGCATCCGTGTACAATCTATAGGCCCTATTGGCTATGGGATGACCTAATACGGGGGCGTTCGCAAGAGCTTCCTTAGCTCGTTCAAATGCAACTTCTTGCTCCGCACGCCATTGCCCTTTGACCCCCTTTTTAAGGAGATCGAACAGCGGTGCAGCGATCATCGAATAGAACAGTATATAAGTGGAGAAATAGACGACCATTCCCAGGAACTTCTGGAGGTCAGACACGGACGTGGGTCGAGCAAGCTCCATTATAGCTTGGACTTTCTCCTTGTCATCGTCTGCCATTTCGAGTTGGGTGAAGCCGGCAAGGGCATCGAAGGAAGATAGGACTTGAGCTCCGGATAGGGCCTGTATGATTTCTGATTGACGCGGTATAGGGAACTCATCCGGAATGGTCTTAGCGTTTAGTTTCCGATAGTCAATGACTAGGCGTGGCTTGCCATTGCGATAGACGACGAGAGCGGGGAAGCCCCATGGACTAATCGACGGTTCAATGACTCCGGCTTCGAACCATGTCTTCATTTGTTGGTCTATGACTTCTCTTTTCGCAGGGGAGGTGCCATACATGGGTTCCGAGATCAGCAAGGTATCAGGATGCAGTGGGATTCGTACTCGCGCTTCCACATGCCCTAATCGACCATTTACTCCGAAGGCTGCAGCATTTCTGCGCAATACTTCGGATAGTCTTTCTCGGTACTCTTTGGGTATGTCAGGTCCTAGGTTGACCAATTCCTCAACGTCACCTTCTAGAGGGTCTTCGGGCACGGCCGTCATCTTGGGACCCCATGACGCGTCATTCTCAAAATGATCGTCGTGACCAGGAGAGTCTGCCGTTGGGTTCTCGGCAGTAGCTAGGTCTTGAGCCTTTAAGGTTCCCATGATCGTCTTCTTCAGTGCCTCTGTCGAAGCTATCATTTTAGTGAGATGATCTTCATCTTTGGGTTTGTCTAGAGAGGAGTCCAGGTCGACCAGGTAACCCACTACTTCTCCGACTCTAACGAGGCGCGGATGCGGTCCAGTGTTGGTGATCGGCAAGTAAGGGCATGAGGCGCTTATCCAGGTAGTAGGAGCAGCCATAACGTTTTGATCGTCCGTTCCAATGATAATCTTTTCTATTATCCAATCTTCTCGTCCTTCGAAGGCAGCGTTTACCGCGACATTTCGAACGTGATAGGGTTGGATAAGTGTATCTTCTGAGGCCGTTACTTCCGTTAGCTTTTTCACACTGCCTTTTGGTTTCGCACGAGTTACGGCTTTCCTACGAATAAAGGACTGGGTGGTATGCGCCACCCTGATTTCGAATCCTAGGTCTACATTGTGAGCTGAGGCGGCGGGTAACACGCGCCCTGACTTTCCAACCAATACTTCACAAAGTCCCGTGGCATGCCTGATAACACTTAGCTCATATGTGGTCTGGAAGTCTTCTCCTAATAGCAGAGGGACGTTCATATTCCTCACGACGTAAGCTTCCAGTTCAAAGCTAACGATCGACTCGTCTTGGGCTACTACGAAGAGCTCAGTCTTGATATATCCCAAGACTTTGGCCCCTCCAGTGAGATGATATAATTTCATTCTCATTCCTTCTCGTAGACGGGGGGAATTCACCATGGACTTCCAGAATTCTTCAGAAATAAGAGTAATATCCGCCCCCGAGTCAAGTCGAGCCTTGACACAATCAGATTCTAGATTATCAATCTTGGCACGCATATGGAGAGCTTTCGTCCCGAGCGATCCCATCCCCTCCGGAAGGGATCGTCCCTTGATGGCAGGGAATACCTTTCCAGGCAGGGCAGTTAGTAGGAATCACCCACCAACACTGAGAGGCCCGACAATACAAACAGGCCATAGTTGATGGTGCCTGCTGATGGGCCGATGAGGGCCAATAACCCTGTGTTGATGAATTGGCCGATGTGATCCCACTATCAAGGTAAAGAAGGGTCGGCCAGCTATGTAGATTTAGCATACACCGATCAGTAGGAAGCTGCCCCGGGAAGTCAAGTCCCTGTATTTGTATATCGGCTGATAGCTAAGCTATGCAAGGTCAGCTGACAGTTTTGAACATTGTATTTGTATATCAGATAGTTAAGCTATGCAAGGTCGGCTGACAGTTTTGAACATTGTATTTGTATATTGGCTGATGGAAGATGCAAGGTCGGCTGACAGTTGTGAACGTTGCTGGGCTGGTGATCGGCCGAGGGCCTTCACTTCTGATTAGCAGCTAGGCTATGCAAGGTCGGCAGACATTTTGAATTCGCCTGGGTTGGTGGTCGGCCGAGGGCCCTCAACTCTGGTTACCAGGGTCAGCTGGCGAGACCCACATGGTAGTCATGGTTCATGGATATCACCGAGTCGGCCGGACACAAGAATTTATGAACATCTCATCAGCCGATGCATCACCGAGGCCGGCATTTTCAAGCCGAATCGTTTTCAGCTTGGCCTTTAATTTAGCAGCCAAGCAGAGGCAGACCAGGCAGAACTTGCAGTCAAT